CTTCAGTGAAATCAACAAGTATGTGGCAAAAGCAATTAGTACGGACGAAATCTGCGACCATGGCTGGCATCACTGCGCTGTCTGCCCCTACTTGAACTGCCAACCATTTTGTTGCCACGTCCACTTCCACTCCTACTATCATTTCTTTGATATGAAGTTGGGGAGTGTAGCTGTACTCCTGGCTGTTGCCTGCAAAGAAACAGAAAGGCTTAGTCCTCAGGCATTTACAATTAAGTAGTAAGCTAATTTTCTTCGTGAACCAATATTTACTATAGCAGGTATATCTAACATTTATGTGGCAAGCTCAAGGATCGGTTGGACTATTAAGCATTAGTTTGAGCCATGTAATGTACTCAAGCCTACAGTGTCAGAAAAAAAAAATGGATCTGGGGAGGGGTTCCACCAACATTATGATATAATGGAATAGAAAAGATTCATGTTGCCAGGAAACAATGGGGGTAAGACATAAATATCAGGCGCTATCCTTAATTTGGACTATGAAGAAATCAATACACCAACTATATCCTCATTGTTGATTACGCTAACTGCAGCTTTTTTCTCCCTTCATTTTCTCCTTCAATACACGAATGCCTGAGGGAAGGGGGTATAACGTAGCAAGTTGAAACCCCTTTTTTTTTTTCCCCTGTTTTCCCTTCCTTGAATCCCACATAAATGACAAGTTTGATGGGGGATCCCCAACCCTCCATTTGGAGCTAAAATAAATAAATAAAAAGGTTAAAGGATCTACAGTCAGCTTACAGGACATATCCGAACTGCCCATCAGGTAGAAGCATCGGCATCATTGCCATGCCAGCAGGGGCTGGTCCACTTCCATAGATCAATGGCTGCAAAATGGGGGGAAAGAAAATGACGAATTTAATAGTGGCTGAAAGTTAGGAACTCCAGAGTTCAAGTTCTAACAAAGAAGAAACAAATAAATGAATTGTACTAAGAAAATCTGCCATCCCAGCATTCTATAGCTTCTAATGAGCAAACAGCATAAATTTCATTTCATCTTCTTGAGTTAGCTTATTGACCAAAAGTTTGAAACTCAAATATGAATAAAACAAACTAGAATGGAGGAGGTGACAGAAGGTGAAAAAATCAAGTGCCTGAATTACTCTGCACCAATAAGAATTGGCATTATTAGTCTATGGCCTCTCCCTCCTAAAGTTGGATACTTGGAAGATTCTAATCTACAATTGCAAGCCATCCCATTCGAATAGCTTGGAAACTGAATTTCATGGCCAAGTCGTTGAAATTCAATCACATGCGCATACATGGGAAAAAAAAAAAAACCCTTAAATTTAAAGCGATTAGAAAAAGCTTAAAATATTACAATTCTTTCAAATCATAGCATGTAAAAACAAACAAAAAAGATAGATCAGTTAATCTTCATGCGTATATATCATAAAGCCAAAGCTTAAAATTACTAGAAAAGCTATTAGGTAATCCCCTTGCACATTAAAGCTAAATCCAAAATGGTTTATATGCAAAATATACAATGATAATAACCATCCAGACCAAGCAGTTCAAAATAAGATTACAAAGTGTACAATAGTGAAGAGAAACACACAGTCGTATCTTCTGACCTGTGTAAAGCCTGTTGCAACATATCCTGCACCAAGAGCACCATAGGCACTCCCCATCATACCATAACCAACACCAGGTGGGTAACCTGGTAACAAACCAGTCCTCTGCAAGTTTGACCCTCCAGCAGGCTTCTGCTCTGACTGAGGTTTTGCAAGTGCACACTCGACACATTGGCCTAAAAATCACAACAAAACAAACCAGCATGAATAACTTCACTTACATTCAAATAACAAATGCATATAAGATGGATAAATCAGTGATCACCATTTAGTTCATATTTTTCAGTATCTTTCAGAGCTTTCATAGCACTAGACCTCTCAGCAAAATGCACAAAACCAATTCTATTTTTCTCCTGTCCAGATTTTGCTGGAGGCAAAACCACTTTTGTGATTTTTCCATGTCGTTCAAATAGCTTCTTCAACTGATCTTGGGTAACAGTCTTTGGTAAATTCTTCACATATATTGCCTTAACCTGTAAAATAGAAGCTGGATTGAATTGCAGAGCAAAAGACATCTCATAGCATAACCAAGGACAACCAGATCTAAAGAAACCAGATCATGAAGATGGTTAATCAATTGAAATTTATTACAAGACCTGTGAAGACGTGGAAGAGTCAGCATTTTTAGGGTCAGCCCAGCTCACACTAGGGGCATTATCACCCAGCTTAAATTTAGGATCTATCATCTTCTGCCTCGAATATTCAGCGCAAGCATTATTGTAGTACTCAACAAAAGCATAGCCCCTGTTATTGCCTGAGCTCTTCTCCTGTGACCAATTGTTATAACCAATGAGTAAATTGCATCTGCTAACCAGATTATAATAAATAAATAAATAAATAAATAAGAGAAGAACAACAAACACCTTAAAATATCAACAATCAAGTAGAATATTAACTTCACTAACCTTAACCAATTGCACATTGGTTGTACCAGGCCCAACCTCAGTCACAAACTTGCTAAGATCTTCCTCCCCCCAACTTCTAGGAATGTTGCTAAGGAACAACCGGTGCTTTGCTTGAGATGTTGAGCATTTGATTCTTTTACCCTGAATGTGAGAGAAATATCAACACATGAAGCAGCATACTTTAAACAAGCACAAACACAATTCCCACAAACAAAGAAAAGTGAGGACATTCACCTTGAATTCAGTATTATTCAGCTCACCAATTGCTTTAGTAGCCAAATCAACACTTCTAAAAGTCACAAATGCAAAGCCCTTGTTGTCACTTGAATCTTTTCCTTTCATCATACGTACCTGTGGTCATAAAATTTGTTCAGGGTCTTCACCTTTACGGCAATATATAGACAGATACTTCATAAATTGAAGTAGAGCTTACCTCTGTAACTTCTCCAACAGACTCACAAAAATCCTTCAAGTCCTCCTCAGAAGCATCATTAGGAACACCACCAATATATACTTCAGAACCATGAGGAGGACGGGCAAGAAGCTCAGCATGTTTTTTCTTCTCATTCTCATCTTCAACCTTTGCCTTGTCACCTTGATGGCTACTTTGGATATCAGCCCCATTAGCATTACTAGCATTTTCCTCCTCTTCTTCCTCCACCTCCACTTCCTCTTCCACTATTTCCTCTTCTTCAACTTCTTCCACTATTTCCTCTACTTCATACTCAACCTCCTCATCCAACATTTCCTCAGGATCATAGTCTTCATCAAAATCAACTTTCTCATCGGACTCAACCGGCTTTTCAGATTCTGCTTCCTCAGCAGCTGCAGATGCATTTCCTTTTGTACTTGGCATCTTATATATCTAAGTTCACAAGCTTGCAAGGCAACTGTGAAGAGGGTACAGAGGCCACAAGAATTCATGGGATATATACACATATTGAAAGGAGGAAACAAAATGAAAGGCCAAAAGGAGTTCCAGGTCATGAATCTGAATAGAAATTGTGTCATAAGTTTGAAGGTGGTTGCAACGTGAAAGACTTCTAATAAAGGATTTAAGATAAAATTAGTTGCAGTAGTAACAGAGATAGGCAAAAGAGATTTCTGAAAGAAAATAATGTAGCTTAGGAAGGTGATGCAACCTATGTCCTGGAATAGGAAGCATTAGTTTAAGCATGAAGGGGCTTCATTCCAGAGGTTGCATTTCAGAAATATAAGAATTAAGATTTTAGCTTGTAGATTCCTTTATCAAGTTATTCAGAGAAAAGTGGAAAGGGTCAGATTTAACAAAAAGGTGATCAAGCCACAACATGATCCAATCTCACAAACAAATATGAGTTCCAAACTAACATACCAGTCTGTCCACCTTCCTGCAACAATTCAAGGTGACACATCAAACTAAACATACCAATTGAGATGGATATTATACATAAGTTTTTAATAACCAGTACACACTTTCCAAACTAAAAAGAACCCTTCATACCAAACTTTAAAAAGATGGAAGATCCTTATAAGATACAGACCATATGCACATTTGATGCAGACAAGATCTACACGTTTTAGTGTGCCATTAACATTGCTTTAAAACTTACATATCAAAAATTCAGCTTTCTCAACAACCAAGCTTCTTAAAAAAATATATTACCTCGTTTTACCATTCTAGTTTCGCTTCTCATTTTCCTCTAAGAACACCAAAATCAGGCTACGCTCAATTAAAACACATATAACATCTTGGCTAGGCATTTATCAAGTCGGAAGCAAAAGAATTTCATGGACCACAAACTCGTAGTTCAAGTACCACCCCAAGCGTCAGATTCTTCCAGACATGACCTACCTAATTAGAAATCTAAAACTATCAAATACAGCTATGACACGGAGAACCAGAAGGGTAATATCAAGTTAATCAAGCAACCCACGAGAACCAGACCCCGACGAAGCTTGATAGGGTAAGTTGCCAAATCCCAGCTTTTTTCCAGGTTGGCTAAACCTTAGTCAAAGCTTTGGCTCTGCTCTTAACCTTTTTGCATTACGTTCTTCGGCTCCTTACTAACAAATCTATAATGATGCATTTAGATAAAAATAAAAAATTATCGCATCATTAACTGATTTTTATGTGTTATTTTTTACGGTTTCAGTTCAAAATGAACAGCTCATGACCAGATATTTAAACTTGTTAAGGGAAACTAACAGTAACTCAAAAAAAAAAAAAAAACCCAAAAGACACGATGAAGTGAAACGTAATTAGCTTCAAGAACGTACCGCAGAGGAGAGGAGAGGAGAGGATTTCTGTCTGCTATGATTGTTGCTGAACAACTTGAAGCTAAGAGCGAGAGGGAGAGTTTTCGATTCTATTTTTCAGGATTTAAAGGGAAAACAAACCCTAAGTAAATGATTAAAGGATTCTTTTGGCTTTGGCTCTTTATTTATAAAAAAAAAATGGTGCGGTGGATTAATGATTAAGAGGTTCCTTTTATTTATTAAACTTTTTATAATTTATATTAATCGAAAGATTTTATTCTTATAAATACATTATACTGTTTAAACTTAAAGGATGTGCTTTTAAAATATAAAAAATATAGAAGTTAGTTTTCGGGCCTGGGGGCTTTCGGCTTGGGATGCCTGTGTCTTCTCTGGGCTTCTCTTTGTTCTTCGACCTCTACGAGTGCTTAGGTCCAGCTGGGTTGTGTGGAACTCATTCGCTTGGTTTTCTCATGCTCTGTCCTTCGTTTTCTTTGCGTCTGCTGGGGCTCCAGTGACGGCGGCCTGGGTTTCCAGGAGGCTATTGATTTCATCTGGCTGCACTCGACTATGATTCGTTGTGGGTGTTGGCTTGGGAGAGATGGCCTATAATCATGATGATGCATTAAGTGCGAAGCCCACTTGGCTGGCCCTTCCTCCTTCAGCGGCATTGGGAGAGCGGCTGATTTTCGGATTGGTTCGAGGATTTTAGTTCCTCTTGCCCTTCATTGAACCTCTAATCTTGTTCGGTTGTTAACGGGTTAGTTGGTATCCCTACCATTCTGGTTTGGTTTCCTTCATCTTAACTTTTTTTATGGACCTCTGCTTGCTTTGTTGTCGCTTCATGCTCTGTTTTATTAAATTCTTAGACTGCCATGATACAGTTCCTCCAGTGCTCCACATGCTTTCACTTCTTTTCTTTTAGGTCTGGGGTGTGGGTTATTTCAGGCTCACTTTATCTTGGCTTTTTTCCCCATTCCTATTCCTTTTTTTTCTTTCTTTTCTGCTTCTGTTGTCTCCCACTGTTTCTCCTGGACCTGCTTCTTCCCTTGCTTCTGCTCTTCTTTTTGTTTGGCTCGGCTTGGTTTTTCTTTCCATGCTTTTTTGGTTTGCTCTCATTGAATCTGCAAGCTTGCTTTTTGTTCGTTGTGCTCTCAGGAATAGGTTCCCTGCGCCATTGTAGTTTGTTCCTTGGCTAGATCACTGTTTCATGTTGGCTGCTGTTTTGGCATTATCAAGGTCAGGATTAGGAAATCTGCATTCAAGTTTAATTTGATCACACCCTTAATTTGTATAACCCATCCACAGAGGTTGACTGTAATTTTTGTTTTGTTTCATACGTGGCAATCTGATTGGTGGGAGGCACCTGAGGTTGAGCACGTGCAGTGCTTTCATTCTGACTGATTGGTCTTCGAGACAGATATGGTTTTTATAATTACAACTGAATATTTTAGAACATTGCTGTGATTAAAGTCTTCCAGGCGGATATAGGATGGATGAACTCTGTCATGAAACAATCTTTCACTCACTGAGTAGGGTTAGAAGTTTGGGCTAAAGCTTGTAATGGGAAGTGTTGAGGTGAGTTATGTAAATGAAATGATGTACTAAGGATGGGTTTTGTTAAATGGACAACTACATGTTATTGTGTATGAAAAAGAATGGACATTTTGAAATGTTAGAATGAGATTTTAGTGTGTAATGTTGAGAAAGAAAGATTAAATGGATTATGAGTAGGTTGTGTGTGTGTGTGTGTGTAAATGAGATGAAAGAAATGTAACAAATTGAAAGAAAGAACATGGAGAATGGGACTTGTTAGGGTCGGCCTTAAGAGTGATCCAAGGGAACTTGATTATTTGATGAAAATCCTTATGGATTGTAGCTAGTTGTATGAAATTGTTGTTATGATAATGATGGAAGAACATGAGTTGTTATTGTTCATTTAATTGGAATTGTTAGTGCACTTCCAAGCATGAGTTGAAGGTAGGAAGATAAGGGTATGGACAAGTGATGATGAATAACATGAAATTTGTGTAAATGAGAATAAGAAGGATAGTTAAGAATCAAATAACCTGGGAAAATTTAAAGAAAATAAATTGGTCTAATCAGCCAAGTTGGGAAATAGAAATGTAAGTTTCATGGTTGTGATTATTGACAAGAATGATTTTATGTTGAGAAATGCTGTGTGTGTGTGATGATCTTATGATGAGAAACGGTGTGTGTGTGTGGGTGGGGTGGCTGTGTGTGTGAGAGAGAGAGCATGATATTAAGAGTATGAATACCTTACTTGGAGATGAGAAATTTAATTGCTAGTAGGTAAAGTAATAACATGGAAGGACTCATCAATACTTTATAAAAGAAAGTAAAGGGTTAATAAGTTAAGGAATATGTAAATGATAAAATTCATTATTTTAGAATAATTTTATAAATTTATTCAATCAAGTTTTTATTTGATTTTTTGTTTTAGATCTAGAATTATAATTCTCTATATTAATTACATCATAATTCTCAATTTATAAAATGTAGTTTCAATTAAGTTATATCTTATTAATTATTATATTTTAATTTTTAACCAATGGTTCTTGTGCACAAATCCTTTTAGGTTTTCTAATAAGTTAGCTTAAATATAAATCATAATTTTAGATAAAATAGAATTAAATATTTGGTATTTTTGTTATATAAAATTTACCTTTACTTTAATTTTATTAATCAAATGTTAGATTTATTTGTCAAATATAATTGAATATTAAAAATAAAAAAAATATTAATAATAAATATATTGTATATAAATAAAATCAGTATTATATATAATTAATCAATTAACTACAAAATATATTCACTAATATCACCACGGATTTCAATACAGTTCCAACTAGCCATAACAAGCAATTTCCATCTTTCTTTTAGCACAATTTAATTAGAAATGGCAAATCCTTCAATATCTAGGAAATAAAGTGTGTGACCATGCTTGCTCTTTGTCGCTCAAAGCTACCAAGGCTATGATAAGAGATACTCGGTGCATCTCATGGTTTCCTTGCTAAGTTGCAATGTTAATCTATTGCTGAATGCTTCTACAGAGTAAAAATTTCTTGCTATTTTTATATGCTTAAAAACACTCTGCTGATTGAATTTATTTTTTTTATTTACAAGTGGTGTTTTAGTTAACTTATACATACCTTAATTAATTTTTATAAATTTTAAAATTAACAATCAAGTAAATAAATTTCTGATTGATTGAGTATTTTTTTTATTTTACTAGTATTTTAGTTAATTTATATATACCTCAATTAATTTTTATAAATTTTAAAATTAACAATAAGTAAATCAATCTACAACGAACATCAATATTAACAATTTCAAAGCTAAAACCTAATAGCATAGGAGAGGTTCGGACCTGCGGAATTGCCTTTATGCTTTCATTAGTTGATATTGTAGTCTTTTTAAAGATGTTTTGGACCAGGACTCGTCTCTATTCCCTTCAGCATCATGCGTTTTAACAAAACTCCATTCCCTTCCACCTATGCAGACTTTGTGACCATGTCTTCCTCTACAATTTACAGCCATCGTTGTAGATGAAGAAATCCAATCAGAGGAGGCGGCTCGCCTCCAGACGACGCTGCAACAGAACCAGCTTCTAAGAAAGAGGTGGCGTCCTAGGACCTTAACTCTTCCTCACTTTTATGGCTAGCATTCTGTTCATAGCATGTCCGTAAAATTTCACAATAATTATCACAATAATGATATTAAATGTTAGCATTACCATAAAGTTTCACGACAATTATATTAAATGTTAGCTTCTACAAATTTCAGCCATGCAACCATCTATAATTATCATTAAGATTTTCATGGTATTAAATGTTAGCATTACATTTATATGTAGAAATTTAGCTAACAAACAAGATATTGTTCTCTTAGGATATTTACATTTTGAATTCCTTAATCACTACCTATCACTAAATTCAATTCCTTCATTTTAATCTTCTTTTGTGCTTATAAATATTATCTACCTATAAAATATTTATTTTAAAAAATATAATGTAATGATTAAGATTCTGAAGGCTTTAGTTATATGCTTATTGTTTTTTATTTGAATTGATTTTGAAGCTCAATAATTAGAAAATAATAATTTTTCCAAAATTTGATGATGTCAAAAATAAGATATTTTTTAATTGTTTTAAAGATGGGAGATAATATAGTCTAGGAATAAAACTTGTAATAAATATGAAGTGGGATTACCACCACCCGATAATTAAATATCGAAACAATTTTTTCTGTCGTAGTTATTTAAATTACCATGCTGACTTCTATTTTATATTAGAATAATCTTCAAAAGTATTATGAAATTACAAATCCTGCATCAAAGATAGAGATTTTGTAAGAACTCATTCATGTTAAAATAAAAAATAAAAAAATGAGAGATTTAAAATGCTCTAATTACTAAATCAACTAAAAACCAAGCATTAAATTCTGATAAGCCATGGTTTCTCCATCAAGAAATGTCTTTAAATGATAATTAATCCTAATTTATTTGGTAGTATAAAGAAATACATGTTGACCTGGAATAACACAGGTGCACCTACCCACATAACCGTCTCTGAACAGAACAGTTCTTTCCTCTCCCAATGATCTTGAGCAACCGAGTCAACAAATTGAAATGATTACTCCCGGAAATCTATCTACTGTTTTCTCAATCTGACAGACTGATCCAATTACTACACGATGGGGAAAAGGCAAAGAAAAACCTTGAAGAAAGCAACTCACAGTACAATTTGATTAACCTGTATTCATAACCTAATCAAGAAGTAGGACAGATCTCCCATGACTGCCATTTTGAATTATAAAGATGATGAGTATAGTCCAGAGTTTGACTTGATATAATTTGCGATTGAATGGAGTTTCCAACGGGTTAAAGTAGGCAATTGATAATCAACAATCCACCAATTTGAATCCAGGATGATACAGCACTTTCAAATCTTGATAGGCGAATCAGAGTTCTGACCTGCAAGTGGATTGTGTAAAAATGCACCTTTCTTCCATGAATCAGTAGACATGCCTCTTCCTGTGCCTGGTAAATCATGAGCAGGTTCCAATCTCATCTTCTATTTCATGTATTCCAACACGCTCTGGGTTACATCTTCAAGGAAAGACACAAAACCCATGACACTAGCAAAGCCACTACCATCAACATGCTGTTCCTCAATGAGGTAGTTCTCAAAAGCAGAGGCATCATCCTGCCCTCCCCGGATAAAAATCAATTTCGGAGTGATACTCCTTTCTTGCTTCAGTTTGTTAATCGTGCTCCTCAATAAACCTGATAAGAGTGCATTGTATCTTAAAAACAGAATCAAGGATATTCTTTGAAGAATAATTTCTTCTGCATAAAAGCAGACCTAAATGATAAAAACAACTTACAATCTTGGGGTGGAGGAAAAGGAAGTTCTGGGTCTGCTGTAGAAGAATAGAACACAATTAAAGTTGTAAATGCGTCGAGGAAAAATATTGGACTATCACTGGTAATCAGTGCAGCACGACTCAAAGAGTGGCGAGGATAAGCTTGTTTATCTGGTGTAGAATATGATGTCAATAGTGGATATATAGCACGTTGAAGGGAACTGGGTTCCAGTGCACTGCAGCAAGAGAAGTTTAAGAGAAGTGAGACTACTAATTTCTCATACAAAAGAAAAGTAGGGTTAATTCTCAAGGAACACATTTAAAGTTGCCAGAGCATGGCCTAATTGATGGCCAACCTCTCCTCTAAAGAGAAGTTACCAAGTTCACCTGCTCCCTAAAGCCATTGAATGATCAACAAAGAGAAAGGTAATCGACAGTGCTGTCCACAAGAAAAGTTAATTGCAATAAAAATTATAGAAGTACAAAGTTTGACCTTATGCACGAAAATAAAAACAACAGTTATAGACACCAAGGATGATAAAATACAAAATGCAAATTAGGTTTTAAGACAAAAATCTGCAACATTCTTCCACCCCAAAACAGGGGTGGGGAAGGTGTCCAGTTGAAGAAGACCACTGGACATTTTCTGTGACATTATGTTTATCTAATAAATACAGTCTCCATGTGCTTCTAAACTCATCAATAGTTCACAGCTTTCAATTCAGTTCTGACATTGCCATAATAATAATTCAACAGCTGAATAGAAACCCCCACCTCCTCCCTCCTTGTGGGTTTTCTAAAACACTAACCCAATCCCCAGGCATATTAAATATAGCAAATCAAATGTAAACATGGTGTACCTAAAAAGGCATTGGAGGTATATCCGGTAGTCAGGATGAACACCTTCTTCATGGAAGCGAAGAAGAGGATTTCGAAGCAAAGCAAAAACTAGGCGAGGCAAGGGCTGCAGTTGTGGGCACTGTGAAAATGCAACATCTGCCTGAGCAGTTAATGAACCACCATTCTTAAACTGGACAATTTTAGAGGCATCATTATACTGAGCAGTGAGGATTACGAGCCAATCATGAAGCAACATCCTGCCCTCCCGGACTCCTTGCTCCAAAGAGGCTAATATAACCTAGAGTCAACAAGTTGCATAATTAACCAATGATGAATAAATGTAGAATCAATTAGCCTAAGGAGAAAAGTCATTGTTATTGAGAGAGAACAGAGCAAATCATACTCGTGCCAGGAATGGGGGAGAATAGGGGAGGATTGCCCATGTTGCGCAAATTACTGGCTAAGAGTTCTTTCAGGAAGTAAGCCATACAC